AAAAATCTGGAGACAACAGATGCTTAAGAGGATGTGGAGAAATAGGAACACTCTTACACAGTTGGCAGGAGTGTAAATTAGTTCAACCATTGTGGAAGAGAGTGTGGGGATTTCTCAAGGATATAGAAATAGAAATTCCATTTGACCCAGCAATCCCATTACTGGGTATATACCCAAAGAACTATAAATCGTTATACTATAAAGACGCATGCACACATATGTTCATTGCAGCACTGTGTACAATAGCAAAGACCTGGAACCAACCCAAATGCCCATCAATGATAGACTGGACAAAGAAAATGTGGCACATATACACCATGGAATACAACACAGCCATAAAAAATAATGAATTTGTGTCCTTTGTAGGGACTTGGATGAACCTGGAAACCATCATTCTCAGTGAACTGACACAAGAACAGGAAACCAAATACTGCATGTTCTCACTTACAGGTGGGTATTGAACAATGAGAACACGTGGACACAGGGAGAGGAGCATCATACACTGGGGGCTGTTGGGAGGGCTAGGGGAGGGACAGTGGGGTGGTGGGGAGGGAGGGGAGGGATAAAATGCGGAGAAATGCTGGATATGGTCAAAGGGGGAATAGAGGCAGCCAACCACTTGGCTATGTATGCAGCTATGCAACAACCCTGCATGAGGTACCCCAGAACCTGAAGTAAAATTAAAAAAAAAAAAATTCCTCAATTCTTCCAAAAAAAAGAAAAAGAGAGAGAGAAAATGATGTCACATATCACCCAATCCTAGAATTCAGCCTCTACAAGCTTCTCTGTTTAGCCCATTGGACAATTAACCAGTTTCAGAACAACTCCTACTGCTTTGATAAGGGTAATAATAAGACAAATATGACTGTCTAGGAGGAGGGGGCATGGAAAGAAGGGAGAAAAAGATTGAAATAGCCTCAGCTTTGTAGAGGGAATGTGAACACGAAAGGCATGTCGTGCTATTTTCCTGGCCGGGGCAAGAAAACAGTTTTAGAGTCAACAAATATATTTTTTTAATTTCTTACTATGTGCCAGGCTTTAGATTAGGTTATAGGAATGTAGTGGTGAGATATAGACGCCATGGGTTTCCTCACAGAGCAGAGAGCTCATGAGAAAAGATGGGCGTTTAGGAGTCACACCTGTGCTATGACAAGCACTGTGCAGGAGGAGCAAGAGCAGGAGCCTTGCCTGCAGCGGGTGGGGCGAGTCCCGGGAAAGCCACTGCCACGCAGAAACCCGCAAGAACAACACTTGGTACTAAAGGGAAATAGAAGGATTATTCCATCAAAAGGGAGGTGAACATAGGACTGCCCAGTAAATAAAAAGAAAAAGAGTATGGTCCTTTTTGGAACTGGATTGCTGGAGCCCAGAGTGTAGGGAAGACGTGGATGGGTGTTAAGTGGCTCAGCTGTAAAGAGAGAAAACTGGTTTAGATGCAAATGACTCAGGTGCATTGACGCTAGACCTTTTCAATCTATCCCAGAGTTTCAGATTTCAAAGAAAAAAGGCTGTGAGGCAAACCTTAAAAGGCAAAAAATTTATCTCTCTAGGGAACTGCTCAAAGATGAGTAAAGAAATGAGTTTTAAAGTTCCTTATAATCTACAAAGAATGAAAGCAGATTATTTCCAAAGTTTAAGTTGATGACAGGCTTTTTTTAGTAACCCTCCATCAAAGGTATGCCACACTGAAACGACATAGCTCTGCCCATCTTAATCCTAATTATCTTAAATTTCAGGAACTGTTGGATGCAATAATTCTAGGAAGCTTTTTCAAATAAGACTTAGTAACGGTACAGTGGAACTAGAAGTTCGATAGCTGGTTAAGACAATTGGCAACTGCTACTTATTCCGAATTACCCCTTAGATAATTGTGAGTTAACCATATCTTAAAAGTGCATACCTTTTGTATATTAATATATAAATGTCCTAGATCCTAGATATTGTCACTTAAAAAGTAAAAAGTGTGACTATCAAAATTGCCTTATAGTTGTGAGCTACCAGAAAGTGTGAACAAGCTGCATAATTTCTTCTACAGATTTTGACATGATAGTAAACACTTAATAACTACTTTTCCAGAATGATAATACAATAAGGTGATAAAATCATAACAAATCTAAACCACAGCCACTCAAAATGAGCTGCTTTCAGCAAATAATAACAAGTGTGAAAGGAGTCAGCAAATTTTGAGAAGCTGGGTAATAACATCATTAGCAACTGATATTGACAATTGGCAATTTCAAAATTTAGCCAGCAGAAATGTATTTGCAGGTCTTCAACAAGGTAGAAATTGGCTCCACAAAAATATTCAACAGAACAACAAACTGCTTTATCAAGATTTTCTTTTTTCTTTTTTTTATTTTTCTGAGACAGAGTCTTGCTCCGTCAGCCAGGCTGGAATGCAGGGGTGCAATCTCAACTCACTGCAACCTCTGCCTCCCAGGTTCAAGCGATTATCATGCCTCAGCCACCACACTGTAGCTGGGATTACAGGCGTGTGCCGCCATGCCCGGTTAATTTTTGTATTTCTGGTGGAGATGGGGTTTTGCCATGTTGGCCAGACTGGTCTGGAACTCCTGACCTCAAGGGATCCACCCGCCTCACCCTCCCAAAGTGCTGGGATTACAGGCATGAGCCACCACCCTTGGCCAAGTTTTTCATATAATATATTTTAAAAGAGATTATATCTTTTGTCAATCAAATCAGATATATCCACAGGTCTCAAATCTAAAATCCCATCAAAATCCCCAAGAAATTCATTTCAAATGTAAATTCTAAGACCTCAGTTGAAGATGGTACTACTTCTCTCATCAATTCATACGTCTTCCTGATGGAATACACACAGATTAAAACAGACACACACATACACGGAAAACAGTCAAACAGTACAAAAAGGTATGTATTCCAATAGCAGTCTAGAAATGTGGGTAATACCTTATCATTACAATATGGACAGGCACACACTGAGAAAGTAACGAAGTCCTCTTATGGGTCTTCCCATGGGAATCCCAGAAAAACTGTCAGTTCAGAGTCAACAAATACAAGGGCAGAGATGAACTCAGGATCGTCATGAAGAGACCCCATTCCCCCATGTGCTCCTCCCTTTCTGTGTTAATTGAACAGTGTCAATAGCTTCTGACACCAGTGCTAAATGTTTCTCCATAAAGAAAATGATCTTCTGTCTGAGAAGGGCTTATAGAACCTGAGAGAAACGAAGAGCAGAGTCTGAGGCAAAATCATGCTCCAGCTCCAAGGCGAAGCCTTCCTTGCCTTGGTGAGTTTGGAAATTCATCTAAAGGAACGGAGCATGCAGGCCAGTGTTTGAGCTTTTGCAACCACTATAAAGAAGGACAACAATCCAAACAACTAACACCACCTTAGGCAGAATTCATGGAACAGACACATCAAGAATTTAAAACTTGTGTATCCTCAAAAGCAGACAAGAAGATAGTGGTAATATAAAGAGGAAGTCAAAGACCATTTGGGAAAATAATTATTATGAAAACATGTAATATGTTACAGAATTCATTGATGGGGAAAGTAACAGCACTAGGGATAAAATAGAGAGCTGGAAAATTGATGGAGAAACTGTCCCAGGATTCAGTAGGACAGAATCTAGTACATACCAGAGAACAAAGCTCACACACATGGCATGTAGAAATAGATTTGCTATACCAAGATAACAGGAACTTGAAACAGAGAGAAAAAAATCAAGGAATAATAATAATAATAGCTTTTCCCAGAATTAAAAATAAAGTTTCAGATTTCAAGATTTCTTGAATTCTAAGCAGGATAGATAAGGAAGGCTCACACCAAGATAAAGGAGTGAACCTTAAGAACAAGGATTTAAAAGATATGAAGTCATCCAGAGAAAAATTAGATGGATGAATAGATAGATACATAGACAGGATAGAGAGAGACAGAGAGAGAGAGATGATAGATAGATAGATGATAGATAGATAGATAGATAGATAGATAGATAGATAGATAGATAGATGATAGACAGACAAGATAGGTAGGTAGGTAGATAGATAGATAGATGATAGATAAATAGATGATAGACATAGGTAGGTAGATAGATAGATGATTGATAGGTAGATAGATAGATAATAGATAGATAGATAGATTAGATAGATAGATAGATAGATAGATAGATAGATAGATAGATGATAGACAGACAAAATAGGTAGGTAGGTAGATAGATAGATAGATAGATACATAGATACATAGACAGACAGACAAGATAGGTAGGTAGGTAGGTAGATGGAGAGATAGATAGATAGATAGATAGATAGATAGATAGATAGATAGATAGATGGACAGACAGACAAGATAGGTAGGTAGGTAGGTGGGTAGGTAGGTAGGTAGATAGATGATTGATTGGTAGATAGATAGATAGATAGATAGACAGATAGATAGCTGTAAAGACAGAGAGCAGATACACAGATAGATATACATACACATACAGACAGCTCCTGACTTATCACGGTTCACCTTAAGATTTTTCAACTTATGATGGTGCAAAATCCATAGGAATTAAGTAAAAACTGTACTTCCGATTTTGAATTAGAACTTTTCCCAAGCTAGCCACATGCGGTACCAAACTCTTTCCAGATGCTGGGTGACAGCAACGGGACCCAGCTCGCAGGCAGCCACAGGATCATGAGGGTAAACAACTGCTACTCTACGGTTTACTGTGTTGCCAGATAATTGTGCCCACCAGTAGGCTAATGTAGATGTTCTGAGCATGTTCAAGGCAAATTAGGCTAAGCGGTGATGTTCAGTAGGGAAGGCATATTAAATGCACTTTGGATCTAGTTTCAACTTAGACTTTTTTCAACTGACTATGAGCTTATAGGGAGATATGTCCATCTTAAGTTGATGAGCATCTGTACTTAGACAAGAATAAAAAACTGCTTGACATTAGCCTGCCAGTGGCTACACTATGTGCAAGAAGGTAATAAAGTGGTATTATCAAAAAATTACAGGAGAAAAATAATTACCACACCGACTCTGAAGCTCTGTTTTGAGTAACAGCAAGGAAACCTCTTCCCAATCAGTCACAGCACTGCTCCCTTCACCCCCACATTCAATCGCTTGTCAAATCTTGTGATCCGGCCTCCAGGAAGTCCCTTGAATATAATTCCCCCTGTTGTATTTCCAGTGCTCAGACTCTATTTTGTGCCCAGAAAACAACTCCTGCAAACAATCAGTTGCAAGGATCTCCTAGCTCATTCCCTTGCACCCAGCCTCAGGCCCTCTAAGTTGCTTTCAAAATTGTCTTTCTTTCAAACCATTCTTATTATCCTCCAGCATACTAATCACTCCCTCCCCGCAACAGGCACACGTGGGAAGGGCCTCCCTGGCCCACCCAGCAGTCCTCTGCTTCTCCCTTTCTTGTTCTCCCAGTAGGCTTTCTGATTCTGGGTTAACATCGAGTGCAACTGACTTTGTATTATAATTATTTGTTTAAATATATGACTCCCAACTAGATTGGGAACCTCAGATGAGCACTAAGCTTAATTCCCTTTCAGCTTCACTAAAGTGAACGGATTCTCTTCATATTTTAGCTTAGTCGGTGCTGAGTACGTGTATGCAAATGTTTTTAAATGGCAACATATCTACGAAAGACACCAGGAATTTTCCCATTCAGGGTATCTATCTCCATTAAGTCCTGTGCAAAGATAACAGCATTTCTGTAATAAACACGGCCCAGTGCAGTTGAAAAAGAAAGATCTGCTAGGGTGGTCACTCATTTGCATGCAGGGGACATGAGAACGTGGCAAAGGAGACGCTGTAAATCACCCCAGAGCTGGGAGTCAGGGCCTCTCAGAACGCCTGGCTCAGAATTATTAATTAAAGCTTCCTCAAGGATGGTTTGTTTGCACATCAGTTGATCTAAGCCACACTGGTATCCCTGTAAATAATAAGACAGCCCGATTAGGCCTAGCCATTAATTAAGTGTCTTTGCTGTGAATAAACAGCGAAATCTTTCAGTCTGAGAGGGCCTATGGCGCAGTGATAAATGTGCAGCTGTTGACACTCCTGTAACACAGGCTGACATCTTCATCAGTTCACGGGAGCTCCCTCCGCAAGGTCACAAGGTGCATGTCATGGGAAGATGACACCTTCTGCCACACTTGGCCCCTAAAGTTATGTCATATGCAAGTTTACAAATAATCAGAACTAGGAATAAACAAAAGGGAAAACTGTTCAAGCCCTTAACTGTGACCCTCAACTGTCACATTTAATTGACTGAGACACTGGTGTGTTTGGGGTACACAAATTTGGATAACAATAATATAGTGCTTTTACTTTTATGAGAATGTACAAGTCTTTTATTTTAAAATATGATTTGGGGTCCAATCACAGATTCTTCCGAAACTGTAGGCTGTTTTCTAAGTTCAAAAAGAAAGTTTCAGCAAATGCCTTCAAACTAATGAAAACAGGAGCTAATATGTATTATGTTTATACCATTTGAAAAATAGTTCTCTCTGCGTCAAGCACTAAGTTCCCTTTTATTTTGCTGCCTATAGAAGGGCTTTGTAAAATGTAAAATATACACAAAATGGAAAGAACTGATTTTTTATCACAATTTCCCCAGGAAGCTCCATTGCTAATGAGGGTTAAGTTACAACATTGGTGAATCAAGTTAACCTTCTAGAACCTAGAACCTTCTAGAACCTAGAACCTTCTAGAACCTAGAATTCTCAAATTCCTCCAACATTCACCTCTATTACAACATTTTCCAGAAAGCCATTAGCGAGAATAGCAGGATGGAGGAGAAGCACCGCTGTATTCATCACTACAAAACTCCAGAACAAATTCACCGACAGCTATTGTTAGGTGATTTGACTTCCTCCCAAGGAGGATTGTTGCCTTCTGCTGACTTCTGCTCTATCCCTGGAGCCCAGATCTCACAGTTTCTAGTTCGGAGTCTGGACAGACTTTGCAGAGAAAAGTAGGAGGTGCAAAGACTTCTCACCCTGATGTTTAGGATGAAAGAGATGAAGGGAAGAGAGGACAGTCAGCCATCCAGGCATCAGGGGTTTGTTCACCAAACAGGTGAAAAACAGGAAGTCCAAGCGCAAGTGAACCGAGCTTCTGGGACTCTTGCCAGCCTTGCCTTGGCACAGCCTGCATCTGAAATTCTGCCCCATCAGATGAGCCACTCGTCCTCGGAGAGGTGACGATGGTGGGTAAGGCTGGACTGATATGACCAACCTCACATTAGAGTTTCTTGCATTCATCTTTTCTGTCCCCTACCAGACTTGAGTTCCTTGAAAACAAGCCACACATCCCTTCATCTCTGCACCCCCTCCAGAGCTTTGCACAGTCTTCATTGTCATCACATGCAAGTGCATGCTGCATTCAGGAAGGAACTGGGAATGGACGGGTAGTGTGCTATGAATATGGCCACACTCGGTAGATCGCTGGTCACACGGACAGTGGAAGGGGATTTTCTCAGAGCCACCAAAACCAATGTTCCAGGCTCACCCAACATAATTTAACTGAGAATCCCTGGTTCTAATTTGAGGCACCTGATATGTAAAGGAGACAGCATGGGATGGAGGCCCTGGAGGCTGTATTTATTATTCAACAGGGCGGGAGCTTGGGAGAAGACATTGGTGTCCAGGAGAAGAGTTCAGGCCAGTGAATGAAGCCCCATCATGAGCCAGGAACTAAACTAGTCCTGGCTGAAAATGCGACCACAGCAGACACTTCTGCCTCTCAAGGGGCTTACGGTTCAGCGGGGAAGAGATTTATATAATACACGTGTGAGACAAAGTCACAAGTGCGAGAAGCCATGTCTGCTCATTTCTGCTTGTCAAGATAATTTCACACAGCCCCTAACTCTGTGAGGCCATGTGCTTGTTTGGGAAGATGCTTTGAAGACAAAACAGGATGGAGCACATGGACCCCACACCTCTTGCCTGAGTCACTACACTCCTTAAAAAATGCATGACCCTAGCCTTGTCTTTTCCTACACAGAAGATAACGTTTGACAGGGTTAGTGACTGTGAGAGATGGGAAAGTTCTTCTTCAAAGTTTGTATCTTAGACTGTATTATAAGGAGTTACAATCTCTCACTCTGGGGCTGTTACCCGCTATTAGCATAAACATATACCCATGTATATACATTCTCTACATCAGCTACGTCTTAAATCAGCTACCTTGACTTGCTCCGGCATGTCTGAACAGGCCTGGGCATGCTCCAAACCCTGCTGCATGCCAGTCCTTATTTGGAAACCCTCCTGACCTTCTCCTGACTAGCTTCCTCTTCTTCCTTGTCTTCTCCCTCATCTTCTTATTTCCCCTTATCTATTAAGAAAATTTAGCCAATTGGGTCAAGCATAGAATGTAAGGTCCCATTCTGGCCAATGGAAACTGGACACAGCAGTAGGGTGACAGCGTCAGGTATGAAAGTTATAAATGTCCCTGTCTCCCTTGTTCAGGTGTGTGCTCTTGTGGCAAGACTTCCAGCAAGTTGCATCCTTCCTGCAGGAAGCAAACTAGTGTTGCTGAGTGACCTTTGTCTCGGTGTGGACTTTTCCTGACGTTATAAACCCGTTTCCAACGGTGACTATGCCTCTGTAATCCATAACTAAATGTATTTTAGTCACCTGTAGCCAGATATCCTCCTGTACTCCAACTTTCATGTGATTTTTCACATACTGAACCTCCAGCAGCCATCCATAAACAGTGAGCTGAAACATCGCGTTGGCGCCTCCGATGGAAACACTCCTGGGCTATAGGCCTCCATCTATAGTCCTTGGTAAGGCTTCTGAATAAAACTAACTTTAATTCTTTAAAAGCTTGATTTTTTGTTCTTTAGTTGTCACATAATCATCCAAAGATTCGTTGCAAAACATAGGCTGGGAGGGTGAGGAGTGGGGCCATCGCTTTTTTTAACTGAGATGATCTGAATAGATGTTTATGGTGTTAGTAGCTGAATTTAAGGATTCTGGGACATTAAGAAGAGAGGTGGAATTCTAATTTGAGTGAGAAGCAATATAAATAACAAACAGAATGTGAACATCGCATTAGGGTAAGAGAGAAGAAGAAAAAAATAAGATCAGTCTCCTCTAGTGCAGAGTAAAGGATCAGAGAAAGTGTAAAGAAGGGTACACCGAGGTCAGACTGCAGATGGCCCCTGGTGCCAGGTGAAGTTGCTTCGATGTATACATGAACAATGGAGTGACAGGATGAGAATCAGCCTCAGTGTAAAACGAAGCAGGGGGAGAAGGATGGGTGTCAGGAGATGGTTAGGAAGCCATTGCGATAACCCAATGTGAGTGGATCGAGGCAAGAACCACGTTCATGCCATGGGCTAAGAGAAAATGATGAAGCAAGAGACCTTGAGAAGAAAGAACCCGCAGCGGGAGGAGCGAGGAGCAAAGCCTGAACAGTGGTCTCAGGTCTATGGGCAGGGCAGGCAGACTCAGGGCGGGCAGACACCCTCACGCTCCCACATGGCTGAGGCATCGACCTGGGGTGCATCCACATGCCCAGTCCAGGTCCTTTCCCTGAACATCTTCATTTGGTAGGCTTGGAATATACATTTTAGCAAACATTCCAAAGGCAAACAACCCACTACAAAGGGGTTGTGGAGACCAAGCCTCCAAGTAACAGGCTTCAGAGAGAATGGCCCTTGGATCACTCTTCACTCTAGAGTGTTCTAGAGAAATTTTGGCTTAAATTGTGAGTCATAGGAAAATATATTTTTGTATCCTCAAAGATCCCAAAGACTCTCTGGTTGACACACCCAGAACCCCCAGACAGGGACCTGGACTTCAGACTTTTCCGTCTCTTCCATCCCAAACAAATGTCCCCACATCCGTCTTGAGCTGGACCCTCCTTGGCTTGGTTTCAAAGTGACGACCCAGAAGCCAATCTCTTCCAGCAAGCATTGATGTTGGTGTCCCTCATAAAGAACCTCACCTGGTTTGTCATGTCTCTTTCCTCTTCATGTCATATTGAGTTGTCCTTATCTTAATAGACAAGAAAATTAGGGAAGGCTTTTAACTTCAAATTCCATAGACTTGTGTGAACCCAAGAGTATCTGAAACAGGTCTTAATTAATTTAGAAAGACTTTTGCCAGTGTTATGGATGCACCATGACATAGCCTCAGGAGGCTCTGATGACATGTGCCAGACCTGGTTGGGCACAGCTTGCTTTTATACATTTTAAAAAGACATAAGACATCAATCAATATATGTAAGATTTACATTGGTTCAATCTGG